GCTTTGATACCATAAAATGTAACACCCCGTATATATCCGGTAGTGTTATCACTACATCGTATTAAGCGATTCTTAATTAAAAATGCAAAATATTCTTTTTCTTTTCAATTATGACGTCATTATCAATTACCTTCTTGATTACTTAATCAATTTCATAAAATATCGCCTGTATGTAAATTGCAATAAGACATCTACTGAAATACCTCAATAAAGTGTGTATCTAAATCACGGCATTACATATCGTAATCCGAACAATATCCTGATACATTAATACAACTCCCAAAATACTCAAAACGAAACAATACTATGTGTCATGGACAATCCCCATGCTCACCAAATAAACAGCGTCTCAACAAGATAATCATAATCATAACACGAACTAAAAACATAAAGCAGCATGCATATCCAGCATCCAACATGTCAGCATAATATAACAGCAAATCTAACTCAGCTCCGGCCTCCTGCCGCCTGAGGTCTCAACATTACCTGAACCTGAAATAAGCATTCCCCAAACGTGGGGTGAGATCTCTAAACAAGAAATCTCAGTAAGACAAGGGGTCCTCAAGGATCTTCCACCCCAAGCTCACTTACATGTGCAATATAAGTTCTAAAAGCATTTATATCATTATCAGTTCCAAAACTATGTAGTGCAACAGATATCTATGGCATGTGTGTCTATCACTATCTACTGGCCAGATAAATGCAGGAATAAGTATACGTCTATCCCCTACAGATAGTACAAGGAACATCGCTTGTACCTCACCCACAGCCTCACCATATTGTATGTACCACATACTCAGGCTTACCGTATAAGTGGAACACCACATGCATATCTTAAAGACACTAGCATATAACAGCTCAACAGCATTTTCAAAACATCAAAAGCATGTAACACAGCATGCATATACCATACCCCCATGGGACATGGTGGAACCATAACATGGCTAAACCGAGGACACGAAAGCTTACCTTGCAAGCTCACTATTCAATGCCAAGAGTCCTCACAGCTCAAGTCCAACACACAACAGATCACAATCTGATTTAGAACCAGCAAGTGTATCAACATACATAACTTAAAAGCATTAACATAAAGACTACGTTCTCCTTTAACGATTTACGTCTTAAGGCTTCCAACAAGCCACAAGCCCTTAATCACATGATTCTGACTTAGTCCATTAATTACAGAAGTTCAACTTCATCAATCTAGGGTCCACAAACCCCCAATAGCCTACTGTATACACAACACAGCTACTGTTCTGCGAAATCCCAGAATATCCAGATATTCCACGGGAACATATCCGGATATGCAATATCCGGATATCTCACTGTCCATATCTGGATATGTAATATCCGGATATACAGATTCCCATATCCGGATATCCAATATCCGGATATTCCACGGGCAGATATCCGAATATTTCACGATAGAATGCAGCAACTGCATTTCGTGAAGATATCCTTCAAAGGTTGGGTTTTTACCGATTTTAAACACTTAAACATGCATTTCTAGGTGTGTTAAGCATTACCCAACAACAAGTTATCATCTTATAGCCTTAACATGCATCAAGCTTCCATTTTTAAGCATTAAAACTCAAGTTAAAGGTTGGTGATCATACCACAACTCAAAAACAGAGGATGGAGATGCTCTTGGAGCTCAACACAACCACTCAAAGCTGACTCAACATGATGCACGAAAATGACACCATCAAGAGTAGGTTTTTCTTCACAAAGGTGACACTTTGAAGATCAAAATGCCAAGAATGAGACTCCCACCCTTCAAACACAAAACTCACCAGTTCAAACTCCCTCACACAGGTTCTCTAACTCAGAAAAAAACCAACAATGCGGTCCCAAGGCCAACCCTCACCCTCACCAAGTGTTTCCCCAAGAGAAAGTGTGAAGAAATCAAAGAAAAAGTAGGAATTTGGCCTCACAAGGAGAAGAGAACCTCCAAGAACATAGTATCAGCTGACTAGCCCCTTAGCAACCACGTAGGAGTTCTGTTTTCTTGGGCATTGTGCCCTTAAAGATAGTATATATAGCCACTTACTCAATAAACACACAGTATTAGCTTTAATTGTTACGCTTATCATTTTAATCCCAAACTTTGGATTCTTAACGTACTCAATTTTACAAGAATTATCATATTTTTCTTATAATTTTCTGAGCACCTTTCTGGTACGCGCTTTTCAAAGCCAGTACCGGTTTCTAGCACCAGTTCTCATTATTTGGACTTGAAACTCGTTTTACAAGCCCTACATATTATTCTAGTAATTATCATGCACTTATTTTAATTTTCCGGGATACTTTTTTGGTACGCATTTATACCGACTAGCAGAACTGATATCTGCACTTTTCTTCCGAAAAGCGACTTTCAGCATTCTTAATCACTTACCATAATTATTAAAGCCTCTTAATAATTATTAGGGTCAATTATGGAATCATTTTCTAGTTTTTCATAATTAATTAATTAAAATTCCTTAATTAACGGTGCAGGTTCTTACAACGTCGATGGTTGCGGTGGTTGTGTCGAGATAATGGTGGTGATGATGACGATGATAGTGGTGGAGAGTGATTGAGAGAAATAAGTGTTTCTCATTTTGTGCCCGGGAACAAAAAAGCAGAAATTTTTTTATTGTTTTTTTTGTTCCCCAACATAAAAATTGAACCGGTTCATCCCGTTAACAAAAAATAAACCGATTTTATCAAACGTGTTTTCTATCCATTTCTGTTCCCGAGAATATAAATTAAAAAAAATGATTCCGTGAAGGTTGTCATGCACACCTAGGACTTCCAACACCGGTTGGAATTTACTAAGAAAAATAAAAAAATAAATATTTGACACCTATTATGCTAGTTTACTGTCATGCTCCATAAAGTCTCTCTTTTTCTCTCACACAAAACACTTAATTTATTCCTATGTATTCTATTTCCTAGTTTCATCAAAGAATTTTTTAGGGTAAAAATGGAATTTTAGATAAATAACACCCTGAAAATATAAGACACCTTGGGGTAAAAAAATCATACAAGTAATAAAGTGAATGAATTAAGCGCTTACAAAAAAAAAGTGAGTGAATTAAGAAAATTAAATAATAAAAAATAGAAAATGAAAGATTGATGTGTTCAATAATGAAAATAGTTCGTGTTTTGATTTCCCCTAATAAGTTCATGGACCACCAACGCATACGTATAGTTAAGGACAAGTTAACATACTTGTTCCGGATGGCCCAACCCCATACGGCCCAAAGGCTTGAGCCCAAGCCTCCTTCCCCTTTCCACGTCAACCCTACCAACACCCCATGCATCCTGCCCCCAAGGCGGTTGCACCCCCTAGGTGAGACACCAAAATATCTCATCTTGGGATTCCAATCCCCTAGGAAACCGCCCCAGACACTATAAATAGTATTCCCCATCGTCATACACTGACACCACCGTAGCAGGGGTTGCATCACTGTTATCATAGCATTATCGGCCACCCTTAACTGATCCCAAGGAGGGTTGACCCCCTCTCACCAACCCACACCAGGCAGGCACCTGGTCCCTTTAAAAATACCTCTCCCCACCCACCAGGAGAGGTATCTTATGTATCGTTATTCTGCCCATAATCCTAGAGTCACATACACACACTCCCCCCTTATCATCTGTTAGCATTTATACTTGGGACAATGCCTCCTAGCTTGGTCTTTACCTGTGCTAGAGGTATAACACATACAGTGACTTCATCCCAGAAGGGAACATAGTGAACTTATAAATCCCAACGGTACAATACTAAAATCTCATAATTATTGCAAATAATCTATAGAGAATCATTGCATAGGGGAACCATTGACCCTTGGATTTGTAAATACGTTTGACAATTTTTAACACGATTCACTGACATGATATTAACACAATAAGAAAAATTCGTGTTCGAGTTGACCCGTTTTCAAATTCGTGTTGTGTTTGTGTTGGTAAAAATTAATTAGAAAAAATTTGTGTCATATGTCAACTTAAGAATCCAAAATTGACCCATGTTAATCTTCTTACAGATTATTCATGTCGTGTCAATCAACAAAATAAGCATGTAGTGTTCGTGTCAAAGATTTTAATCAAATTTCAAATTCATATCATGTTCATACTAAGTATATTCGTATTTGTGTTGATTCGTATAATGTCAACTCGATTTGCCACCCCTGTTGACAAACTCCCCCTATATGATAGACCTCCTCTACTTTAGAGGTGGAACTAGGGGAGAGCTATCATCCTTTGCCTCACAAATTTCAAAGATCATACTTTACATCTCAATCAATTGAACTTAAAGGCTTTTAATTTTCACAAATTTTGAGCCTCGTTTCACATATTTTTTAAAATTTATACATAATTTCACCCATTCTAACAAAATATATGGATCTGCCATTTTTTTTTAATCTCTACTAGTTCATCAATTACTTAATTAATCTAGTTGAATTAGACAAGACCACAAAACTCTTCCTATTAAATTTTTAACGTAATCGCATACCTAAGACTTAAACTCAAGATCACTAATTAAATTGAAATAACTACATATTAGTTCATTCACATTTAGTTGATCTACCACTGCTCTACTTGTGCTCTGACAACCTCAAAATAATAATTGAACCACTCCTCAACATAACATTCAGTTATTATTATTTTTTAATGAACTCTTGATTTTTAAATCAATTTTAATTTCGCTCTTTGTTTACATTTTATTTCATTATAAAAACAACTTAAAAGATTTGCTAAAACTTAACACCCTCAACAATTTACTAGAAAGTGAATTGCATCCAAAAGTAAATAAAATCGAATTATAACTAATGAAAATCATAACATATTTTAAATTAAATTTAAAAAAATATATTACTTACTCGTTTTAAGAACAAATTTATTTTAAAGTTTACAAGAAATTTTTTCTCCACTAAAAATCGTGATTGGTTACAAAAACAATAATATAAAATGAAAAGATAAAAACATTACATATTTACATGGCAGTTGCTTAGTTAGAGAACGTTGAGGTTTCACTTCACCAACCCTCTCTGATTCTCCTCACTACACAAGCGCAAGGTGCCTCAAAACGCTTCTTAGTCCCTTCATTTGTTAAATTCACAGGTACTCAATAATATTCATACACCCTCGTGCTTTTGGATCCAAAAACCCAGTATCATTTTGCTGTGATTGTTTGAAGGGATCTTAATAAATCAACCTTTTTGATTTCTTTTTCGTTTTTGGATTTGGAAAACAGATAGTTTCATGGAAGGGTTGGTGAGTTCTGGGAGCAACCCAGTTCGTGTTTTTGGAGGTAGAAAACACCAATCTCGTTTTGTTCCTGTGTCTACGCTGCATCTGAGGAAGAGTGTCTGTGGAATTAGAATTGGGGTCATGAAGAAGCAGTGTTCACCGTTCCTTGTGTCTGCTTCTGCTTCTGTTGTGGGCCATTTTGAGAACACGCTTCCTTCAAAAGGTTATTCACATAATATCTATCACTATCAACTCTCAATATTGTTTGCTTCATGTTTTGTGGAATCATGATAGTTTTGATTGGGAATAGATCCTTTCATGTTTTTAATTCATCATGTAATGTGAAAAATCTCGGTCATTCATTCATAGATCAATTGTAAGCTGTTAAAAGGACATTTTTTTTTGTAATACAATGATAGCGTTGAGGTTTGAATAGTGTAAATTATTCAAATCCCTCACCACTAGCTCACTCCTATTGGCTTAAGACATATCCTCTTCTCTGTTTTTACGAATTTCATCAATAAAATTATGACTGTTAATCTCTGGATGAATGATTGAGATTATTTACATTAAGTTATCATGTTAAAAGAAGACATGAGTGAATTCCATTCCTGTGTTTGATGGGTTCTTTCTTTAACATGGTAGAGGTTCTTGAGCTTTGGAGAAATGGTGATGCTGTGTGCTTTGATGTGGATAGCACTGTGTGCCTGGATGAAGGTATTGATGAGTTCGCTGAATTCTGTGGAGCTGGAAAGGCTGTAGCCGAATGGACTGCTAGGTTGGATTATTTAACTTGGAATTCTTCAAAAAAAAAAAAAGTGTTTTTTTTTCCTCCTTTGATTGTTTAAAATATCTGATTTAAGTCTGAATTTTCATAGAGCAATGGGTGGTTCTGTTCCTTTTGAGGAAGCCTTGGCTGCTAGGCTATCTTTGTTCAAACCTTCTTTATCTCAACTTCAGAATTTTCTTGAGCAAAAGCCCCCAAGGTATGACCGAGACTGACTGATTTTGTTATGGGGAAGAGTGTTTATTGGCTTGAGTAGATTTGACATTTTGATAAACAATCAACTTAATTACTTTATGTATGAGTATTTTGCTTTCAATTTGGCTTATAACTGCAAATATGTGACCAGGCAATTCCTTGTGAATTCCCCAATTTTTCTTGCCTTGAACTTTTTGTCAGTATTGAAAAGATTTTTATTTTTGAGCATTTTGTATGAAGTAATGCTACACCAAAAAAAAAAAAAAAGTGACAGAATTCAGCCAAAATTTACCAAGACACAAGAGTAGTTCTTAGATGAATCAAAGTGGTAAGGCTCTCTTATCTATCCAATAGTCAAGAACAGTGCCATTTCATTCTGGCAAAATTCTGGCTGTCTAGTATTTTCCTTTTGTATGATATATGATTGAATATCCTAGTGATGGAAAATCCTTATCACAGTATCACTATCTTCTTTGACAATTTGCAGTTTCTGAATTTATTTGTTTGCATGTTTTTATGCAATATCTGCCTATACTTGGAAGAGTAATGATGTCAGATGTGTACTTAGGTCTACCATTGACTACCAAAACTTGTTTTGTGTGCCTGTTTGAGGTATCCATCGATGTCTTAAACTGTTGAATCAGGATAAAGTGCATTGACAGAATCAAGAGAGTTTAGTCACTTTACCCTAGAATGGCTATATAATCGCAACCCTTTGTGGTCCCTTACTAACAGTAACCAAGTTTCAGATAAATGATATATGTTTTCCCCTACCTAATACTTATTTGGTCACCTGATTCTTTTTGAAGATATATTTGCTTCTTTTTTGGTAGAGAGATATACTTGCTTTTGACTCCTAAAAAGAAATGCTGCATAGTGTCTAGAGCCAAAAAATTATATTCCTACATATTCAATTTATATTTTAATTATTACTAAATGAGAATTTAATTATGAAAAAGGTACAGCAACCTACTCTTGATATGTTGACAGTGCTCGGAAGAAATTATATTCTATCTCTTCTAATGACTCATAAGATTTATTGACTTATCCGTTGTTAAGACCAGCCTAAACTTTGACGAGACAATAGGTTGATATCTGTATCACCAAACCATAGCATAACTGTTTATGCTCTTTTTCTCCACCTTCTGATCCCTGTTTCTCCAATGTGTATCCTGAACTGTTTACTTAGACAGATTTGGACCATTGTTTATGATTCTCCTTCTTAATATGCAGGCTTTCCCCTGGCATTGAAGAGTTAGTCCAGAAGCTAAAGGCTAATCACAAGCATGTTTATCTGATCTCTGGGGGCTTCAGACAAATGATCAATGTATGGGGAATCGTTCTAATTAATGGTTTTCCTGATTCATTTTGGGCTTAGAGGAGGAAATCATTAGTTACTATAACATATTGTGAATTTGGATAGACTTTCTTTAACTTCATAGTATACTGCTTCTGAAAATATTTGAAAAATAGTACATGCAACCTTTGTATTCCCAGAACTTTTAAGATTAGCACAATGTTCCTTTCTACACGTATCTCTTGCAAAGTAGGACTAAATTTCCATTTTAATTTAGAATGTGGAATGAATGTGAGATGCTTGATGAATTTAGAATTTTAGAGTGCTTACCAAGAAGGGTAAAAATATGATATTGAAATTTGAACAAGGCCTCTTCCATTGCTCTCTTAAGCCATCGTGCAAGTTTGAAATTATTGAGACACAATGATTAAAGTTAGCAGCTTGTGTCTATATATTCCAATGCACTTCCCATTCAAATGTTTTTTATAGCTTAACATAGCCATGACATGACATTAGGAATTTTATGCTGTGCTTTTGACATATGATGTCACCCTTGGTGCACCGGAGTTTGCCCTTTTCCCCTTTGACATTTGATGAGCATGTTGGTTCTTTTTATTCAGGATGACGAATTAGATACTTTATTTTCTTTCTAACTAGTATCATTCTTCTTATGAAGCCTGTTGCGTCAATACTCGGGATTCCACAAGAGAATATTTTTGCCAATCAACTACTTTTTGGAAGCTCTGGAGAGTTTACGGGGTTTGATAAAAATGAGCCTACTTCAAGGAGCGGAGGAAAAGCTACTGCAGTCCAACAAATCAGGAAGGTTAGGCTTGCACCTGCTTTTTAATTTTTTTTAACTAATTGCATTGCTTGTAAATCTGATCGAACTGGTTTTCAGGCTCATGGATACAAAGCATTAACCATGGTGGGGGATGGTGCAACTGATTTTGAGGTAAGAAAAATTCTGCATATTTCCTGGTAATTTTATGGAATATCTCATTTCAATCATGGGTTTTGTTAGAGATATAATATCAATACCATTCATTTGTAATCAACTAATAGCTTAAACTTTTGGAAGAGTTGGTTCATGATATGGTACTAGAGTCTCTATGACTAAGTGATCAAGAATTGGATCCTTGTCGCACCCATTCTTCTAATAGAAAGTTGAATTTAAACAAGGTAGGTGGTGGGCCAGTGCATTATTTATGTTCCAAGTCTATGTGTTGCATGGGGGGACATGTAATATATAAATCATTTTTTTTTTGTCTTTAGTAACAACTTAAGCTTTTGGCGGGGTTGGTTCATGGCAAATTTTATGATTAGACTTTGGGGTTTGTTGCAGCACCTGCTGATGCTGAATATTATGATAATTTGTTTTCTCATCTGTGCATTGTCCAGCTAAAAAAACCGCTTTTAGATTTCACACACTAAGACCAATAGTAATGTTGAATTCGTGATACTTGATAGGTGAATCAACTTATTTTGATAGATATTTTGGCCGAATTAATTGTGTCATTGTTAGTTTTTCTTATACCATATTCACGTGTGTGATAATTTGTATGCTTTCAACCCCTCCCCCGGGAACATATAGGCTCGTGGACCAGGTGGTGCCGACTTGTTCATTTGCTATGCGGGAGTTCAACTTCGAGAAGGTGTTGCTACGAAAGCTGATTGGCTAGTTTTCAATTTTAAAGACCTCATAAGTTCGTTGGGGTAACTTCATTTTTTTTCGTTTCTTTCCTTTTGAGTCTACATGATAAGTGTCCTATTTTTGAAGTTATGATACACATCTATAATATTAAGTGGATTATAGAATTCTGATCAAACAAACCCGGCAAATGACCATTTCGTTTGTCTTTTTACTAATTGCCAATAGGTAAAATAGGTTTATTCTTCGTTCATCGGCTTTTTTTTTGGTGTCGTTTTATTTGTGCAGATGCTATTGCATTGCTTTTGTAAGTTCCAATACACTTCAATAATACAATACAACATTTCATCAAAAGTTTGTTAAGTGGATGTTATGGATGATTTTTATGTTTCTGGCATTTATAAAAGGACCCTTTGGGCTCGAGAGGATCAAGAATTAAACCCATTTGTTTATGTATGATATTATATCAAAAAACTTCTCCACATGTTTAAGTTAGGTGGAGAAGGGCTAAGAATGTTTTTATGTCTTGGTGTAAACAGTTTTTTTTTTATTATAAAAATGATAGTAGTCCAATGGTATCAGTCAATGCATTAATGATATGCCTAGGATCTCGGATGGTAAGCATAGGTCTAGAGTATTAATTCAAAATGAATTTCCCTATATGGAAGCTTAACTCGGTCAAGAGTTTTAGATAATGCTACGCATTCTAAGGGTGCCCATGACAACCTTCCCGGAATCAATTTTTTTTTTAATTTACATTCCCAGGAACAGAAATGGATAGAAAACTCGTTTGGTAAAATCGGTTTATTTTTTTGTTCCCGGGATGAACCGGATTAATTTTTGTGCTGGGGAACAGAAAAAAGAATCAAATTTTTTTTGCTTTTTTGTTCTCGGGCACAAAATGAGAAACACTTATTTCTCTTAATTACTCTCCATCTATTCCATCACCACCACCACCACCATCTTTCCAACACGACCACTGCCATCATTGTCGCTGCCGCCGTCGTACCATTAGTGCTGTCGTGACCACCCCCCACCACTACGATGCCACCGCCACCATCACCACCACCTTCACCCATCACTACCACCATGCCACCATCACCATCACCACCACCACAACTACCACCGCTGCAACCACCACCACCACCACCACCACTATCATCATCATCGTCACCACCACCATCATCGCAATCATTGCCGCCACCGCCACCATCGTCATCACCACACGACTACCACCACCACCATCGCCACCACTACTACGACCACAACGCCGCCGCTACCATCACCACCACTATCATTGCTGCAGCCACCACCGCCACCGCCACCAACCACCACCACCATCGTCACAGTCACTACCGTCACCACCACCACCATCGCTACCATTACACCACCACCACCACCATTATCACTTACCACCACCGCCACTGCCACCACCACCACCTCCATGATGTCATCACAACCACCACTACCATGCCACCGCTACCATTGTTACCACCACCTATGCCACCAACCACAATCCACACCACCATTGTCGCAGCCACGGTCGTCACCTCCACCACCACCATCCCCACTACTACCGCCGCCGCCGCCACCATTACCACCGCCATCGCCACAACCACTGCCATCACAACAACCACCACCACTATCATCACCACGCCACCACCGTCATACCGCCGCCGCCGCCACCACCACCATGCCACCCCTCGCCGTCGCCACCACCACAACCACATCATATGGAAAGGAAAGGGATGATCCAAATTTTTTTTACATTTAATAGGAATTAGTTTTTATTATATTATTTGTTATGTTATCAAACGTAATTCTCATTCTCGGAATAAAAATAGAACATGTTATCAAACACATTTTTTTTCTTAGAAATTGTTCCAAGGAACAGAAATAGAAAAAAATTATTTCTTTTCAGAAACAGTGCTAGGGAATGGAATGGTTGTCATGCACACCCTAATAAAGCCACTTCAAAGGTCAATGCTTTTGTTTATTTTTTATTATTATTATTTGGGAGGTCGGTGTAGTGGGTTGTGTCTAGGGGTGTAAATGGGCTGGGCTAGGTCGGGCTTTGGCCTTCCTGGCCTAAGCCTACGTCAAAAAAAATTCAGCCTATCTGGTGTACTGGCCTATTAAAGACTTTATTTGTAGGCCAAGTCCGGTTCATTTTTAAAAATAAGAAAGTCTGACATGGCCTACAGGCCTTGTAGGCCTCCCACTGTAGATACTAAGCAAAGAAAGTTCCATTCATGCATGCACTAGTACTTCTCATAAGAAAAAAATGACAAACAAGAAAGAGTCAACATAATACTCCAGCTCTAGAATGAATATCATAGAAGAATAGAGTCAAAGAAATGGGAAAAATAAGAAAAATTAGAGTTGGTATTGGTACTTTGCGTCTTTGCCACATAAAATAAATATTATTTTATTTTAATAAATTAAATAGGCCAGCCTACAAGGCTGTAGGCCGGGCTTGACAAAATTAGCCTATGGCCTATTTGTTAAATTTTTTTTTTATAAGTCTAAGCCTACTCTACTTTTCTGAAAGGCCGGGCCTGGGCCGGGCTCAATGTAGGCCGGACCGGGCTAGCCTGGCACATTTACACCCCTAGTTGTGTCTGTTTGATTTACTGTTTGTTTGATGTTTTATTTTTACCTTCTCTTCATTTTAAAAGTACAAGTTTAGCCAAATATAATTTTATAAAAACTCTTATCATAAAAAGAATTTTTTTTATAATGAATAAAAAGAGAAAATCTAAAAATTCATAGAAGGAGCTTTTTGATGACATTCTTAGGATTTTGAAGAGGGAAGATGGAATAATTTGTCATTAAGATAAATATTTTTTTTCGGTAAACAAAAAAGCCAGGGGCTCAAACGAAAAGAAAAGAAAAACAGAAACAAAAACTAGTCAAAAAATATCAATAACTCGCTCTCTCCCTAAAAAGCCAAGATTAACTTGATATAACAATAGTATACCACTCGGAGGTTCCACAAATGCCATTTGGTCCGCAAGATCACTGACATTAATGATGTAGTTTGCCAACCAATCATTTGAGTAAAGAATAAATAGAGTAAGGGTAAAATTAGAGTTTATAAAAAAAAGGGTAAAATTAGAAAATAAAATAAGAACTCCAAAAAGTAGATATTAATGTTATCAAACCTAGCTCAAACTGGCTGAGTTGACCCTAAACCCAGTAAATCGATAATCTAACCAGTTCGAGTCAAGCAATAGACTATGTATTTGATTCGGTGAAAATTGATTTGAACTGGTCGGGTTTATCACTCGGTCACACTGAACGGATCATGCATTTTTGAAAAAGAAAAATCAAAATTGTTCACAAAATTTTAAAAAAATCAGAATTCTTCCCAAACGAAACCCTTACTTGCAATTGCTGGTTTCACTACTTGCTCCAACACTTTCCTTCTCCAATTGTTGATTATCATCTTCTTTTTACTCCACAAGGCCATTAGCTCTGAGCTCGAGTCTCTCCATCTTGCCATCTTGGGGATTGTTTCCAACCACAATAATGCCTCTTTAGTCTCATCCTTGTTCCAACATTGTCACTTTCTTCGCACTGTTTGCTAGCACCACTTCAATGTCGAGGATTAGGTGTGTTCATGCTTTTCATTTTTTTTTAAATTTAATTTTCTTTGTTTGTATGTAGAAAAAGTTCAAATTTCATTTTAAAAATGAAGTCCTTAGTAAAATATTTTTTGGTGTGTCTTGTCTTGAATAATAGAAAATCTAGGTGTGGGTTTTTAATAAAATCTTTTTAAAATATTCATTTTAAAAACTCCAAATTTTGAGGTGTGGATTTGCCTAGTCAAGATGATTACACTAGAAATTGTTTGCGTAGCATTAATGTGACTTGTATTGAAATTTGTTTACAACTTCCCAAGTTTTGCACAATTTGTAGAATTTGATGTATAAGATACATAATAAATTTAGCAACTTTCTTGTGGAAAGTGATGTAAAACGACTTTGAATTTTTAAGAATAAAATATAGATTTGCATATTCTTACCCAGGTCAATTGGTTTGACCAGCGATCCACGGGTTGAATTAGTGACACAGTAACCTAGTACATTAGCCAGGTCAATGACCGGTCAGGATTACTAACATTGATATTTATTCTTTACTCAAATGATCCCGCGCTGATAGTGTAATACCCCGTATGCATCCGGTTTGTTAACATGTCATCGTATTAAGCCACGCTTAATTAAAAATGCGGAATATCTTTTTCTTTCCAATTATGACATCATTATCATTAGCAAGTTGAATTACTTAATTTATTTTCAAAACATTGCCTGTATGTAAATTGCAATTCAACATCTAACTGGAATACCTCATAATATAGAATAACTATGTGTATCTAAATCACGGAACTACAACACGTAGCCCGGACCATAATCCTGATACATTAATACAACTCGGTTCTAACTAAGACATAGTCAAAAATAAGGCATGAACAATCCCCATGCTCTCAAAATACGGCAACAAGGCCCAACAAAGTCACAGCTCAACAGTAACAACATAATCATAAAATGAATCTAAATAGCATAATAGCAACAGACATAATCCAGCATCCAAGCACAATCAGCATAAGCAGGTAAACAACAATCAACTAAGCTCCGGCCTCCTGTCGCCCGAGGTCTCAACCCCAGCATTTCCTGAACCTGAAATGTGTGCCCCAAACGTGGGGTGAGATCTCTAAAAAGAAATCTCAGTAAGACAATGGGTCCTCAAGGACTCTTCCATCCCAAGCTCACTCACAAGTATAATATAAGTTCAAAAACAGTAATTTCAATGCATGTTCATGTTAATATCATGACAGTATAATCTCTTGCTCAACGAGGTGAATACTACAACTCATTACTCATGTGATGTATGTAAATGCGGTTCGACTGGCCAGGGAACAGGATAGATATACACGTTTGCTACCTATCTAAACATAAGAGTCGCAGTCTTATGCCTTACACACCCGAGTCGCTGTCTGATCGTGTAAGTGACAACATCACTTTCATACACTACATGCCTTACACACCAGAGTCGTTGTCTGATCGTGTAAGTGACAACATCACTTTCATAAACTACATGCCTTACACACCAGAGTCGATGTCTGATCGTGTAAGTCACAACAATTAATCTAGCACATCTCAGACATATATCAATGCATATTTCATCTTTCATAAAAGCATACTATGCATATAAACCACCCTCCCATGGAGGTCGGTGGAACAAACAACAGACTAATCTGAAGACACAAAAGCTTACCTTTTAAGCTAGCTTTCCAAGCCAAGAGTCCACACAAGCTCAAAACCCACAAACAA